CTGCATCTCAGTTATTTACAGTCATGGTTCGAATTCCCACATGCTTCAAACAATCCGCCGGCTAATTTTTCCCAAGAAACAACTCCCAAAATGGCCAATTGCCTGTATCCGAAAAACAAAAAACAAAACCGATATTTGTGGCAGAAGCAACAAGAGGTAGTTTCAGGGTAGTTTCTAGTTTGATTGTTGCCAGTACGTATTAATTTTATGACGAAGAATCTGTGACTATTAGGTAGTTTCTAGTTTGATGGTTGCCGCTACGTATTAATTGTATGACGAGGAATCTGTGACTATCTGAGAATTTAGGCAGCAAAAGCTTTCAAAATGATGGCAATTAGGCAGAATTTGGAGAAGGTCTCTTTAGAAGCAAGCACATTGCAGCACATGCTTAGATGTAGGAAACATAGTGTTCCTAAAGATTTGAAGATTGATTAACGGGAAGCAATTTTCGCACTCTTCTTTTCTCCTCATGCACTTTCCCTCTTTTATTAGCCTTAGTAATGAATAAATCAAAGGAAAATCAAGTGAAAAATACAAGGAAAGAAATGCATAAGGAGAAAATGAGAGTGTGAAAATCACTACCCTTGATTAACGACAATTAAGCACTGTCCATCATCTTATATATGCATAAATTTCTTAATTTTCTTCCCATGAATTGTGATTACCACTTTCCCACATTGGATTAAATGGAGTAAGAAAAATGTGGCGCAAGTTGAAACATACACTTTTATATTTGCTTGTACTCAACTAGATGGAGTTCACTTATTCATGAAAAAGAAACAAGATGGTTTGTAAAGAAGTCTGGGGTAGGAATAGGATCAAATCAAACCAGTCTTAATATCTACTTATGGGGTTTATTACAACTTTTATCCATTCTAAAGATGAATTTGATGTTTCAATCATGCTCATCATGTGTAACAAATTTCAAGCAATCCCAATATTTCTACTCGTTCAACCTATATGTGTAGTTGTATCAAAATTATTGTTTCTTTCACTTATATCAACAGATCTCTCTCTCAGCAGCCTTCCTAGTAATATCTTTCACTTATATTAACATCACAGCACCATGATTTCCATTCCTCTGTGCATAAGGTTTTCATACTCATACACTGAAATAAATATGAAACAGAAAATTTATTCGATTTGTTTTACGACAGGTTGTAGCTTAATCGAAATCTTGTATCATTTTTCAATCTCTTCTATGAATCATACAATGAACTGAAGTAAAGTATGGAGCCTCTCCCTCTTGCTGGTGTGCTTGCAGGGATAATATTGTTTTAGGTAGGCTTCAATCAGTAGAAATGTGATAATCCTCCTCTCTCTCTCTCTCTCTCTCTCTCTCTCAATCTTTGTGCTCTAGATGTTTTGTTTTAGGTAAATTCTGCTATATGAATTGGTCATTATAATCTATTGGCTTTAAAACAAAAAACAAAAAAAGGCAATCTGAGTACTTTGTCTTATTATTTTTCCTGAAGATTATTCAATTTAAGTTGGGGACATATGTTCTATAATTTCTGATCTATAATTATCCACTTGGCTTTGGATAGGAAAAGCATCTTTGATTGTTCTTAATTATCTCTGGTCCAACTTTTTTTTTATACTTTGTGTGCAGATTCAGTGGATGTTTTAGCTGTTACATAACATGTGAGCTATACAATTAGATTCAAGTAAAAATCATCAATGCCTTGAAGTGGGGGGAACCCATACTGGCCTAAGACTGGCAGATACATACTCTTTTTGTTTGTTCTTTTATTTTATCATCCACCACTGATTTGATTCGATTTCTTTTGGCAAACATCCACCACTTGTGTTTTTGGTTTGTTTTTTGGTAAAAGGTTTGTTCTGTTTCATTATATGGCTTTTGTACTTGTTCAATACTTTACCCTATAGATCTTGCACTCATTTGTTGGTATTGGAGAGAATGAGACACTACATAATTACCCGAACTAATCACTAATTAGTCGCATTAATTAGGCATTATCTTGCACTTTTATTTTTTCGCTCCTCAAGGCAAGGAGAAACACTTACATGCAACGGGAATAACACTATTTTGCTATCCCCAGTCAATCACAGTATGCTACGCGTGATAACTTTTTCACGTGACAATCTGTGATTGAAAGATAATAACAAAACAGTGTTATTCCCGTTTCATACAAGTTTTTCTTCAAGGGAAAGACAAGATTACCTAGAGGCCCTATGTACATATGACACATCTGATGACATCAACAGACAAGGTGGGGAAGCTTCCACTGCCAAAGCTAATGGCAGGCTAATTTGCAAGTGCTACAAACTAAAATTGGAGAAAATATATAAAAAAGTGAACTGATTTTGAAGCATCCAATTGTAAATTCTCATGATGATCAAGAACACAATATAGCAGATGGGGTTCAAGATTATGGAGAGGGGTCTTGTCAACTGCAAGAGCCCACTTTCAGGTTTTCCGAAGAGAGCTTGTATTATTTGTTTGTTGACAATGATAGGACAATTGAAATTTAGGTACATTCATGTGATGTGAGTGCTTTTAGTTTTAGATGGAGGGATTTGGGGTTTAGGTGCTAATCCTGTTTTGGATATCTTTCCTCCAACCAATGAGATACCATAAATCAAACTCAATGCAAATTTTGGCACCCTCTGATGCTGTTGCAGTCCTTATAAGTATCATTGGCCTACGATATTGAACCAGTGCCTTGTTTTTCTCTCTTCTCCCAACTGTCTCCAGCTCTGATGAAAATCACTCTTTGAGTCATTCTCACTCACATCACATGATCAATTGGTCCTGGGCACTCTGAAGCAAAGTTAACGATAACTATAAGTGGATCATATTTATTGATAACGTAATTGACTATACTATATATGACGTACGGTGACGTATCTATTAATTAACTGGCCATAATAATTTATGGAGTAAGTGAGTTCCAATTGCTACATAATACCACTGAATATTTATTTTAAAATGTAACAACATTGAAGTGCTTGCTTGGTTTGTCTGCTTAAGTGGCTTAATTAGTCTTTTAGCTCTCTTTCAATCCGTGACACAAACTTCTTAAAACATAACATTATTTTCTTCCCCCCTTTGCAGAACTCAAACGGCTGCTTTTGCTTTTGGTAGCAGGGACAGAGAAAGACTGCAAGGTCATTTCACACCGACAAATAAAATAAATGAGGCCACACAAGCGTGTCAAGCTCGTACCGTACAATGCTTCTTTTCACGTGAAAAACAAATATGATTCCATTATTGCTGAAAGCATCAGGCCATGAAGATAATATCAATACATTATTAATGTTAAGTACGTCATTGTTTGGTTCAGTTTTATTCTTATCAGGGATTTAAAACATCGGGGATAAAAAGGGAAATCTTGAGGATATACGAGGGAAGAAATTGGTTCACCCTACTATATATCCTTATCGATATCTTGAAAATGAAAATTTCGGAGAATATACTGGTGTATCGGCATATATTTTCATCCTTAGTTATAATAATTGACAATACAATGCAACAAAAATACTTAATATATCTCAACTTTCCTTACATTATATTATACAAAAGAAATAAGAACAACTTTGTACCTAATGGCATTAGTCTTCCCTCTTTATTATAATTGTTCTCAATTGAGTTTGGTCATCTCAAATTCAGAGATTTATTTATTTTCAATCCATCAACTAGAGTGTATACTTTAACTTCCAACTGATATTTTACCTGGCATTTTATTAGGTACGCTATCCTTTTCTTTTTTTCTTATTAATTGAGGGTAGGACACATGAATGGACAACTTTCATATGAGATTACTATGCCATTAACATGATTGGACTAGTTTATTTTCGTACACACTCTTTTGGTTGATTATGAGGACAATTACATAATTCCTACTTAATTAGCCCTTAGCTCTATCCCTAACCTAAGGACTATTAAATTCGTTTATTGTTTAATCTATGCTAGGTTGAAATTGTTGTTTTTAGTTAAAGTAACATTCCTACACCCCAAAACACGTTCCAAAGTCTCTGAATAACAACTACTGTGATGGTATTTCATTTGATCGTATCTGAATATTCAATTGCCATATTATTATGTGTGGACAAAATCAACCATCAATTTCACCCCTTATGCCCACTTGGCTGCCTAGTGTTGAAACAACCCAAAACTTTATGTCATGCTTTTGGTACCCCTCGAAAAGAAATTGCACCATGGCTTGGGTTGTGGCATAGACTTGGAAGTCAAGGGCTTGGTTGTGGCATAGACTTGGAAGTCAAGGTCATGGGTGTCTTTCTCTCACCCATGTGAAATTCCAATTATTGATGTCATTTTGTGGAGAAAAAAATCCTGTGTTTATTTTACCCAATCAAATTGAAGCTAGAGGCTCGAGTGGGCATTCATTTGGCCTTGCAATCACCTTTGCAAAACCCTTCTTTTTCTGCAAATCTCTTTTAAGCACAGAATCGTCATTTGCACATATATCTCCATTCTAATACTGTTTTCATAATCCTGAGCTGTGCCCAAGTATTTTAGTAAAGTAAGGCCAAGCCTCTAAACTTTTGGTAGGTCCCAAGGGACTTGAAAATAAAAAATGTAAGGAATCAGAGAGGCAAACAATAATATGTAACAAAAGTGTCTCTCTGTCTGACAATGATAGCTCAACTCACAAGCCCCTCTCTCTCTCTTTCAACTCTCATCCCCAAGAGACAAACATTTTTGGGCCAATGCTATCTTTTTCCCTCATGACCCTTGACTATTCTTCACATAAGTCTAAGTCTGCCTTAGTCTCCTCCTCCTTTATATGCATAATATTATCTCTTCACTATTTCTAGCAACTCATGCTTAAACAAAGGCATGGCTACCTTTTCTTTCTTTGCTTCACTTTTGATCTCAATACTTTTAGTACATTTGTGTTTGTACCATGAGGTTGAAAGTGTTGATGATCAATTGATCAGCACACATAGAGAAGCCTTGGAAATCATTATAGGTGGAGGAGGTGTAAGTTCTCCTCCTCCCCCTTCTCCTGAATATGAAAATTGCCCTCCTCCTCCCCCCCCCTCCATGCCCTCCGCCACCATTACCGCCATCTCCACCACCATCCCCGCCACCTCTGCCACCATCACCGCTACCTCCACAACCAACACCACCACCTCCGCCACCATCACCGCTACCTCCACAACCAACACCGTCACCATCACTGCCACCTCCAACACCATCACCATCACCGCCACCTCTGCCACCATCACCGCCACCTCCACAACCAACACCGTCACCATCACCGCCACCTCCAACACCAATGTCGCCGCCACCGCCAACACCAAAATCACCGCCACCTCCACAACCAACACCATCACCATCACCGCCACCTCCAACACCGTCACCATCACCGCCACCTCCATCACCGTCACCATCACCGCCACCTCCAACACCAATGTTGCCGCCACTGCCAACACCAAAATCGCCGCCACCGCCACCAAAACCACTGCCTCCACCAAGACCACCTGCCCCAGGCAAGTTTGAGAGCGAGCGAATTAAACTTGCCTACTATGTGTTTCAAAATTTCAGACCCTTAATCAAGGATGACCCGAAAAACTACGCAAAGTCATGGCGGGGCTATAAAGTTTGCAAGTACAAGGGCGTTGTCTGCGCTATGCATCCTGACTACAAGCAGCAAGCAGTTGCTGGTTTGGACATCAATGGCGCTCTGTTTGGCGGTTATAATGCTACACTCCCCCTGAATGGCTTCCTTGACAAGTTAGAGGACTTGGCTTTCTTCCACGCAAACTCCAACAATTTCACAGGCTTTGTCCCAAAAGACGTTTCCAAACTAAAATTCTTCTACGAGCTTGACCTCAGCAACAACAAGCTAATCGGAGGCTTCCCTAATGAAGTTCTTATGGCCACAAATTTGACATTTTTGGACCTCCGGTTCAACTCCTTCGTAGGTTCAGTCACACCGGAAGTCTTCAAACTAGATGTTGATGTGCTCTTCCTCAACAACAACAATTTCAGTCAGAAGATTCCTGACAATCTTGGTTCCTCACCAGCCCATTACTTCACTTTTGCTAACAACAAGTTCACTGGTCCAATCCCAAGAAGCATTGGCCAAGCATGCAAAACACTTTTTGAGGTTCTCTTCCTTGGGAACAGCCTTACAGGTATGCTTCGAAATTTCTATAATATCCTGGAATTTTCCCCCATTTTCTCTGTTTTAAGGACCAAAAATACAGAGAAAATGAGGATAACACTATTTTGCTTGAATATGATAACACTAATCTAATGATATGTTTGGTGGTATACATAATTAAAGACTGGATTAAATGAAATATGCTATTACATAACCTAATGGGATTAAACATAATCTAATTGGTTGACTGTTGAATCAAATTAGTTAGTTTGATCTAACGGTTAATAGATAAGACTCTCACTATAAAATGACTCAATCTCATCCACCTTAACCTCAACATTTTGATTGGATTTATAATCCTACTATATTTGGGCCTACAAGACATAATCCGATCCTTTTTGTTTTAAGGCCACCAAACATCTGACTAAATTGTGAATCCTATCCAGTTATATAATCCAACACACCAAATCCGTACGTAATCCTAAATGTAAGATAGAGTGGTAACCAGTTCTAGCCAATTAATTCTGATTTCATTTATTATTCCTCAATATATATATTACCTTTGATATTATCTTGGACACCGACATTTAATACCTCGCTTTTTCAGGGTGCCTGCCGTATGAAATTGGGTACTTAAACCAGGCCACGGTGTTCGATGTGAGCTCCAACTTCTTAACAGGCCCAATACCACACTCATTCAGCTGCTTGGCCAAGATTGATTATCTAAACTTGGCCAACAACAGCTTCTATGGACCAGTGCCAGAGCAGGTCTGCACCTTGTCTAATCTGAGGAACTTCTACTTGGCGAACAACTATTTCACAGAGGTCGGGCCAGAGTGCAGGAAATTGATCAAGAAGAAGGTTCTTGATGTTAAGCAGAATTGCATTTTGGGCCAACCAAACCAGAAAACAAAGGCTCAATGTACTGCCTTCTTCTCCAAGCCTAGAAAGTGCCCCAACGAGAAGGAAATGACCTACGTGCCTTGTAAAAGATACTTGGGTTCAAATGAGAAGAAGCCTGAGCATCAGAAACAAGCTTCTGCCCCATTGTCTTATGGCAGTCTTGTGCCACACAGGCTTTGATTGATTTCATGCTGGAATTGGGCTCGTGGAAGATGATGAGCTAGATGGGTCCTTTGTTAATTTATGCATATATATATATATATATATATACACACATATATATATTTGTATATTTTCTTTTTTAATGATTTTATGGAGCAATGTAATAACCTGCTTTATAGCCCTAATTTAAGCATGCAAGTTTATAGAATAATGAGGTTACTACTTGTTCTGATATATATTTTTTTTGATGAGATCATTTTTATTGGGGCGGCTCTCTCTCTCTCTCTCTCTTATATGATTTGTTGAATTATAATGTCATGTGATAAAAAATGAATGCTGAAACTGCTTTCCATGGTCGCTTGTACACCACAAATAAAAGATTCAATCAAATTGAAAAGACCTTTGGTTACTCATGTCTCTGTCTATGTCCTGTTCTATCCAATTGGTCCTGTCTTAGAACTAGTAGTAGTTGAGGGATTACATATTTTTGGCTGGATGTGGTAGGACTTCTAGTTGAGAAAGTTCGCCTGTCATGTGCCAGACTTTCACCACTGACGATATCATTTTCTTCTTAGCTTTAGGGTTCGGCAGACTTTCACCATCAAATTTTGAAGGCCATGAACTAGGTGCACAAACTCGGCCTGTATTCCTCAAAGTTTCTCCTTTTTTATTTTGTCAAAGGCAGGGAGGGGGAAGAAAATTTACTCACACACACACTGGTGCCTAGAGGTTTTAAACTTGAGACCATTGTTCTTAGGCCAAACATACTTTTCCACTATGATATGACTCATTGGCAACCCTTTGTTTTCTCCTTCGTTCTATTGAAAATTAAGTTGTCCTTCAACCAAAAAACAAAAATTGAATCAGATATTGTCAAATTTTTTTCTTTGGTTGGCGTGGCAATTGTGTGTATATATATACACACAGAGTACACCTACTTTTTATTTATTTATTAATTATTATTATTATTATTTATGAAATTGGGGAGCAAATTTATTGGAATTTTATAGGCTAATATGAAATATTCGAATTTAACTTGGTTTGACTATTGTAGACGTGAGTTAGGCCAATGGATTAGGGCGCTCTCAAGTTCAAATTTCCATTCCTGTAAATTAAGTTAATTTAAAAAATTTGGACTATCACTTGTTTATATAAATAAAATAAAATTAGGATTGACTATTCTTAACACAAATCTACCTCAGTCTCCTTATATTATTATTATATATCTCTTACTGTTTCTAACTACTCTTTTGTGGATCCCATGGCCGGTACTATATTTTTCTGATGTTCTTCAATTTTTGCCTGCAATTGACACATAGTCGTTGTTTAGGGGTAAAATGAAAATTTTACAAATTAAAAAAGTCATAAAGTGATTGACTTGTGGCATGAAATTAGTAACACATAGTACCTTATTGATTAAACTTGAAAAAAAAAAATATGACTATTGTTTTTTTCAAATATTAAAAAAGAATCCTATATATATGGATACAAAATGCCGCAGATATATAATAAAATAGTTAATTGTTAGTTTTATTTTTCATAATTTTTCGGGGGTTTTTTATATAATAATTTTTAAATTGCATTTTGTATTGTTTTAAAAGTAGATAAATCATAGGGGCAAAATTTGAAATCCAGACCAAAAACTTCCATGATCAGGTTCAGGAGTGCAGTTGAGTGATCTGCCCTTTCATGTCGCGATAGGATCCCTCTTAACTTTTTGAGTTGCTTCGTGAGCTCACACCCATGACGTGTAAAATCAAGGACTAATCTTTGGGTGGGGAAGACCATACTTTTTTCATGTAAAGCAAAGGACAGACATATAAATTATATTACCTGATGAAAGAGAAATTACATGACATATTATAATTTGGTCTTTAATCTCATTTAGAGTGAGGTATGAATTTAATTTGGCTTAAAATGTTCATTTTGAAACGTAAGTTAGTTTAGATAGCCATGGTAGTGTGTCTGCCTCCTTGTATCAAAGTTTGCTTTGTCATAAAAAAATAAAAAAAAACTGTGGGCTTCAAGTGACCAATATGCTTGAGGTAGAAATTTTTTTTGTGAAGATTGTCACAAAAGTTAGGGGATGACACTTTATGCTCCAATAATTGCCATATAATTTCCTTGAAGATGCTCCTATCCTACTTATATAGTCTCTCATCTCTTCCCTATTCCGAGCTACTCTTGAGCATCCCAATAGCTAAAGCAAAAGCATGGGCACCATCTCTTTCTGTGCTTCCCTTCTGCTTGCAACCCTATTTCTACATTTGTGTTTTCAACAAGAGGTTGAAGCCCAGAAAGGCCCCTTCATAAACAACCGACTTAGAAATGCCTTCAATGTGATCCAAGCTTTCAAACGTAGAATACAATCCGACCCCAAAAACTACACAGGAACATGGGTGGGCAACAACGTCTGCAAATATAAGGGCTTCACCTGCGCAGTTGTCCCTGACCTGAAGAAGTTAACGGTCATCGGAGTCAGCTTCAACGGAGCTTTGTTTGGCGGCTTTAACAACAGCCTGCCTCTCAATGGCTTCATTGACAAGTTGGAGGACTTGGTGTTCTTCCATGCGAACTCCAACAACTTCACGGGCACCGTCCCTAGAGGCACTGCCAGGCACAGATTCTTCTATGAGCTTGATCTCAGCAACAACAAGCTATCTGGAGGCTTCCCAAATGAAACTCTTGGGGCCACAAACTTGACCTTCTTGGACCTCCGGTTCAACTCGTTCAGAGCCACGGTTCCACCAAAAGTGTTTAACCTAGATGTTGACCTCCTCTTCCTCAACAACAACAATTTCCAGCAGCGACTTCCTGCCAATCTTGGCTCCACACCTGCCCATTATCTCACCTTTGCCAACAACAGGTTCGTTGGCTCAATCCCAAGAAGCATTCGCCAAGCTGGGAAGACCCTTTATGAGGTTCTCTTCCTAGGGAACCAACTTTCAGGTACAATGTCCTCAAAATTCCTCAAAATTTCGATATCTTTTAGGGTTCAATACATTTTCGCTAACATCGATATTTAACACCTTGATTCGTTACAGGGTGTCTGCCGTACGAAATCGGGTACCTGAAAAAGGCAACCGTGTTTGATGTGAGCTCCAACATCCTAACAGGCCCCATACCAAACTCATTTGCTTGCTTGGGGAAGCTGGAGTATCTGAGCTTGGCCAGTAACCAGTTCTATGGGAGGGTGCCTGATGCTGTGTGCAAGTTTCGCAATCTAGAGAGATTTTCTGCGGCAAACAACTATTTCACTCGGATAGGACCAGCTTGTCTGGCGTTGATCAGGAAGAGGATTCTTGATGTCAGAGGGAACTGCATTCCGGGGCTCCCAAATCAGAAGACAGCTGCTCAATGTGCTGCCTTCTTCTCTATACCCAGAACTTGTCCCAGACCGAGAACGTTGAGTATAATTCCTTGTACAAGATCACTTTCAGCTTTGAATGAGACGAACGCAGATATTAATGAAGACCAATTGACCACCAAAGCATATAATATTCAAGCACCAGCCGAAGCCCCACGAACTTATGCTACTCTTATGCCGCATGGGCATTGATTTGCATCATGTACTTGTGCTCGTCCAAATAAGTGGCCGTGATCTTCTGTTATTTTGCACGTGTGTGTTTTGATTTTTTTGATTTTTTTTTGGTTTTAATTTTATTGTCTACATGTGTGTTTCTTTTTCTTTTTGTTGGGATTATCTAGCGTGTGTGTTTTGTTTCTATTTGTTTTAAGCTGAATTTATAACTTTATAGATCAATGCACCCTGATTGCGAGAGGCCGTCTTAATTAAGCATATGCAAATTTGCAGAATAATGAGTTTTATTATTTACTTTTTAGTCCTATCACCTTCAAATAGAATGGACAGCATATTTTGTGACCGACACAATATCAACATTGTATTTTTTTTAATAAAGAAATTTCATTATTGCATTTATAATTCAGTCAAAAAAGGCACTAGTCACAAAGGGCTAATTCAAACTAGCCACAAAGGGCCATTACAATAACGGAGCGATATAATATCAAAATTAATACAATCTAGAGCTCCTCCACTAACATTAAAATTAATATACAATATCGACATTGTATTACGTATTGTAGATTGGTAAATGAACTTTGGTAAGAACCAAAATAAATATGTTGAAACAACTTTCACTATGGTTGGATGGTGGTTGACAAATAAATGACTCAGAAAAATCATTGAGATCTCTGAATGACTCCAAAATAATAATAATAATAATAATAAAAACAAAATTGATGAGTCATTGACATGCACTTCTATAAAAAGTTGTTAACTCTAATAATTTATAGTCTATGATTGGCCAAAAAATAAGTTAGTCTATGTGATAATTTGTCTTCATTCTTTATAATAAAATGGGACGTGAATGGGAACCAGCCAAGCTATGCTTATTCACGAAAGAAAAAGGGAACCAAGAAAGAAGGACGACGGATGCATTATCCTTCTTTGGCATATGCTTTTGGAAATTCGTCAAAAACAAAACATAAAAATTTAAACAAAAAGAAGAAGAAGAAGAAGAAGAAGCATAATGCTTTTGAAAGAGAGTGAAAAAAGAAAAAGAAACGTACACTGCCAGATGGGTCCTGGCTCTTGAGCCTTTTCTTTTCCCTTTCTCTTTTTCCTGTTCTTTTCCTTTACCAAGTTTATTGAAGCATGAATCATGTGATGCTGGTAGTATAAAAGAGGGACTTCTCTCTATCACGATTCACGATTAAATATAGAAGATAGACCTAGTTGTGTACGACTGTGTGATTAAAAGAAGAAATATCTATCTATGCTGGGCCTACGTGGGTGGAAGTTTAAGAGACAGAAATAGACTACTTCTTTGAAATCATGGCCATATGCCCCTAACAACCTTTTTTGATGAATAGGAATTTTCATTAACCTTCAACCAAAGTACAAACAGCCAGTACATTAATATGTAACAGGAGGGCATAAGAGGTGGCCTCGTTAAAATCTTGCCATTAGAAACCCCCAAGAGAGAAAATCTTAACAACCTTAAATACACATGTTATGATGTAATTGAATTGATAACACCGCATTACTAAAAAGAATTCTTGTACTCGGATGGGTGGACATAGACATTTATAGGCAGCAACCTTTATTATTCTTTGGGTTTAGAGTACACTCGTAATCTAATCTGCCAGTGGGCCTAATTAAAAAACTTTTATTTATGCATTAAGAAGAGACATGATGGGCCTCGATCGTTGGAGGCAAAAACTAAATATACAAAGATGACAATACGAAGAAAAAGAGAGAGCTACTTTATATAAAGAATTTTTTTTTAATTGTTGTTAGTGTGTGAGGAACAAAAGGCTTTAATGGATGGGTCGAATACTTTCAATTATTGGGTACTTTCCTTTATATATAACGTGTTTCTTTTTAATTTTTATATAGTGGAGCTTGTTGGGTTGAGATTTAATTTAGAGTAGTTTAAATTATCGCTTGTTGGGTTGAGATTTGATTTAAAGTAATTTAAACTATCACTTGTATAAATACAAATTCAACTCTGTATCAATAACAGACCATACATCATTGTATATGGATGAAACAAGGAAACATGCATTTCAGTGGGGAGGCAGCCGACCCCACGGAGCACAACATATAGCCACTGTGTGCCCTACCACCCTCGGCTTCATCCGTACGCTTTAAAATGTGGTCGGCTTAGCAGAATCAATGAATCATTTCCTTGTTTGGCTTAATGTATATAGATGATTATGACCGTATATAATATGTTTAAAATTCAATCCATGATGTTACATGTGTTGATTAAAGTTTTGAAATAAATTGTGTAGCTTCTGATAACTTATTGATTTCAATGTATGTTTTCTAGGGCATGTACCTTTCTGTGTATTTGGAGGACCAGCTTTGAATTGGCCGGAGATGAGTGCTCAGTGCTCATTACAGTAGTTTCCACTTCCCACGATTTCTAATTGGACGGCGCACTTCAATTTCCTTTCATACTTTAGAGGCGAAATGATTTGGTTGATCCTAATATTCTTTCTATATCTTTTAAATAATTATCATTGTATCTTTATTTATTATAAATTTAACGTTAAAAGGAACAATCTTTGAAAACTCCAATTAATAATTGCACGATTGGAAAGAGGGCCACGACCGTGGTGGGGATCATGATGACTGCCATGTGAAATGGGAAAGATGGATGGAAGAATTGACGGAATTGATTTTTTTTATAAATATTTTATTGAGTATTATCTTTAGATATCAACTTGTGTATCGTCTCTCTCATAGAGGTGAAACCCACCAATAAAATGAATCTCACCCTCAATTATTAGAGAGATGATACACAAGTTAATATTTAAAGTTGGTCTCTCTAGCATTTTCCTATTTTATTAAAGGATATTTTTAAATTTATTTATTTATATAAAGCATATAATTGAACTTCAATTATTATTTTTATACAAGCACTATTCGAGGAGGGGGAATGGAACCTGAGTACTGCTATTTTCATCCCTTATCATATTTCTCCACCTATCATGTAAATTTGCAAAAAGCACAATCCTAGTGTTCTCACAGACTAAGAAAGAAGACATTTGATAGAACAATCACATAACTTGAGGAAAAAGTTGAAGTTGAAGCAATGGCCTGAAGAGATGCTTGAGAAATTGGGCAATGTGCTACAAAAATAGGGAATACATAGAGAGAAAGCTATCAGCATCCTATAGCTTGGGCAAAGATGGAGGTAGTTCAAGGCCAAAATCTCTTCTTCCATTATATGATGGGAAAACAAGAAGTTATTATCTTCAAGGTGCGAAGAAAGAGAGTGTTGTTGTCTTTTTTATTTTTATTTTATTTTTTTCAAATTTACATGGTGGGTGGGAAGATAAGGTGGGTGAGGAAATATGATAAGGGTATGAAAATAGCAACACTCATTTAACCAAGGACATTGAAATTAATTTTTTAAGATAAAACAAAATCACTCAATGTGTTAATACCAAATATCAGTAGCGCTAGTCCAAAAGAGCCTAAAAAGCAAAGGCCCATATCACTTGAGGAAGTAGCTGAGTCCATCGACTAATAGAATACACCAACCTTACCTCACGCCTAAAGAGGCCCAAATGAGGTAAAGGGAGGCCGCTAGGCCCATCCAAAGCCCACGATGCCATGACCCATTGCACTAACCCAAACACCTCTCCCAAGAAGCCCGCACGTGGGAAGATGAAGCGCTAGAATGAGCCCACGTCATATCCCACTGACGCCTATTTCCTAAAAAAGAAAGGGCACACGTACGTAAGTCTATCACCGATACGTAAGTCTATCACCGATCACCCAATAAAATGGTGCCATGTTGTCAACCTCTCTTGAGTCACACATTTAAAAAAGACAATTGAGAGGTCTCATCTTCCCTAAATAAGAGGGAGTACTTCTCCATACTTGAGAACAATACATTTATAAGACTCCTTTGAGGGAAAAAGACTATTAGAGGGTGGTCGGTGAACCCATCACCTCTTCGGTGACCCATTCATGTTTTCCTTTCATGAGATTGGAGTTACCAGCCACCGTACTTGAGATATACAGAAATGCAACTTCAGAACCATGTCCACTTTTGAGGAAGGGTTGATTGAGTTTGACGCACTCTAATTGGAAGCGAATTTCACGCATCAACATAATGCATAATTATCAAACGTGGGCCTTACTTAGAACTCAAATGACGTTGGAGTTACTGAAAAAAGTGATTGATATCTTAAGTTGAATCTTGTCATCTGTAAAAGAAAAAAGAAACGTAGGTATATGAATCAATATGATTAACAAAATGCGATACAAATATTTTATTCATTATTACGTACTTGGGTTGCTATCTTAAGTCAAGATGATCAAGCTGTCAAAGTTTGAAAACAACTAGCTACCAAAGCTGTTGAAACCGCGAGCACCCTAAGAAAAATGTTTTAGAGCCCTCTCCTCGTGTGATGACTTGTTTATGACTATATCACCTGAAATGGAATCCATATAGAACCCTATCTCCGATGCATAAGAGGGGGTGAATACATTGTGAAAAAAGTTAGGTACCTGTAACATTTTCCAATCCCACACAGACCAAAAGTGCAAACGTCAGACTTCCATTAATTTCCACGCATGTAACTAATGAACCATATGATTCATATCTTCTAGGGATAAAAAAAAGGGAGGCAATGAAGACAAAGGGACCCGTAAATGTCTGCATAAACGCTCTGGAACATCACCTACCGAAAAAGAGTGGGAAAACTATTGTTTCGGGTCAAAGCCACTACCGTAAAGTCTAATCATGTGCACAAACTTTAATTATGACACTGAGACTTCAAATCTATCCAGAATATATATATATAGTAACACTTATCAAATGTCCTTTTAACTATAATCTTCTTCTGTTCTTTCAAACTCTTGCACTTGAGGCCATTCAATTAAATTTGTAAGATGGGAAGCTTCTTCTTACTAATTAACCGTTTTCTTCATGCCTTGTTGATCATCATCCTTCCTTGTTTCTGCACCAGTGTAATTTGCACAAATTTTGAAAGTCCAGCACAATTATCTTCCTTACT